CCCCCCACCCATTCCCCTTAGAAAACTATGAATTCGCCAGCAACAAGTGAATTAGGAGGGTTTTATAGCTTAGAAATGAATTAACAATCCCAAGTATTTTCCATATAATGATACGAACAGGTTTTCTTTTAAAATGACGACACATTCATTTCAATCCAACTGTTACACCAACCTATGGACGTAAATATAAGCAAGTTCGAAATCAAACCGAATAGGGTTCTGGTAATTCATATGTCTCTTTCAACGAGGAAGCACGTACATTTTTAAGCCTATTTGCAATCAGACTGAGAAAGTATAAGTGACTCATGGAAAGTCTATTACAATAACTCATCTGTGATTATTTCTGCGTTTAGTCTTCATTTTGAAAACCTTGCTCATGATGCGGTTATCCTGAAAGCAGTACCGTGCCTTACCCGCCTTACTAATCCTACAGCGGTTTGTAAAATAATACATGTAATAAAGAAAGAAATACTGCGAACCCCCCTCTTACCCCCCCCCCCCCCTTCCACCCAAAAAAGTCCCCAAAGTCTTGATGACACCAGCAAACGATAAAATATCAAAGAAAAAAAAATGAACTAGCTCTCTTCCTCTACATCCCCCCTCTCGTTCTTAAAGCAAATACTAGACAGAAAAGAAAACAAAATAAACAAAAAGAAAAACAAAAAAAAACCCGTTTTCACTGTGACTGTGTAATCCAGGAATGCGAGCGGCTGACAAACTTCCCTAAAGAATCCATGACGGTGTACCTGGCTCCCTCGTCATCCTATGGCCGTTACGTCAGCAGTATTCCAGACGAAAGACTTCTGCGTGGGGAACCTCACGACGCCGTCCTCGTTCTCGATCCCTACCCAGAGATGAGTTTTGGTCACGTGGTTTTGGTCTTCTTTGTGGATGTAGGGATTTCACGTGCTGCTTGCCAAAAGAAGGAGGGGATCTATTTAGGTATGTCACACTCCCACACGTGGACACAAACACACACATACACACACACACACACACATACAAACACACACACACCAACACACACACACCAACACACACACACACACATACACACACACACTCTCTCTCTCTCTCTCTCTCTCTCACACACACACACACACACACACACACACAAACACACATAAACCACAAATATGCACATCACAGGGACCTACAATCACAAAGAGAGTGATAATGGGGTTCAATACTGCAGAAAGCATCATCATCATCATTGCCTTTCTCACCCTGCATCAGGATATAGGCCACGAACAAACATTTTCCGCCTTTCTCTATCCTGGGAGAGTGGCTTGAAGTCCCTACATGTCTTCCCAGTTTTCTGTACATCCATTTCCGTGACTCTTCTCCAGGTCCCACGTGGTCTTCCCCCTTGGCCTTTTACCCTGTGGGTTCCAATCTATCACTTTCCTTGTTATGCAGCTGCTTGACTTCCTGAAATTGTGTTCAATTCATCGCCAACGCCTTCTTCCCACTTCATCTCTGACTGGGCCCTGTCTCGTTCTTTTTAATACTTCCTCGTTGTTGATCCTGCCTGTCCCACTGATCCTCGGTAGCTTCCCCAGACACTCGTTCAAGAAAACCTGGATCCTCTTTATACACGTCTGAGATGCGTTCCATGTCCCACGTCCATGCAACAGGACTGACTTAACATCTGAGTTGAAAATCCTCCGCTTTGTTCGTAGTGAGATATCCTTGGTCCTCCAAATCCTGTTCAAAGAAATACATGCAATCTGTGCCTTTCCAATACGGGACTTTATTCCAGCGCCTGCCCCCCCCCCTCTCT